AAAGCAGTCAGGGGATGAGTGCCAGCTGGGAAATGGAGCATGGGACTGTTAGGCAAGGGGACTAGAAATAGCTGCTATGGTCAGACCAGAGGAGGATTCAGGTGGGTATCTGGGAATGACCAAATAAGAGAGAAAAACAAGAATCTCCATGGGACAAAGACTAGAGGAAAAAACAAAGAGAAGGCTGGGAATGGGATGAGTCTGGTCCTGGGACAAAGCCATAGCGGGGAGCGGTGAAGCTGGGGGCAGGAGCAGTAAGCCTACAGTAACTACAGCCTTCTCCTCCCACCACCAGGAATGGATCTCAGGGCTGCTGATGCCCATGGCATCCATGAACCTCCTGGCAAAGAGTTTCTCTTATCCCATTGCAGATCCAGCTCCCCTTAAGGAGGATGACCCATTACTATCAGTTCCCATCAGCTGAAGCAGCAGAAAGCTGTACAAGGGAGCTCAGGTTTCTGACACTGCTAATGATCCATGCAAGGGCCAACTTCATCCTGTATAATAAAACAGCTTTGGGTTTTTTTTAGTGGACTGAACCTTTCCACCCAACATTTACAAAGAAAGTGCTAAGGCTAAAATGTCAAGTCTGTAACAGCTAGGAAATGCCATATGTAACAGGCAACTTCAGCACTTAAGGTGGCCAGTCCAAATGAATGGGCCCATGATCGGAATCTCCGTGTCTCTCAGGTCTCTGTAAAATAGGAGGAAAAACCAACCATGTTCATACTGAGGAGGCAAAAATGAGGTTGTTAACAGTTGTGAAGCATTAAGATGACACATGTTGCAGAGAAGCCGTAGAAGGGAAGATCTTGTCTCTTGCATAGTATACAGTAATTAAGATTTCAGACACAAACTGAAAAAAGACAGGAAAATGAGGAATATTGGAAACCCCCACATTCAGCAAGCACTACTCATTCTGGATGTTGACTGTGTCAGGGCACTAAGGAAAATAAAAATATACGGTGCCATAAAAACTGCACAGGAACAAGCACAGCAAATTTTTAGTCTAAAGCCTGATCACGGAGATATGCTACTACTAAGTATGTACCAGGATACCAAGCTAAGATTACATCAGCATCCTGAATGCTGGTATTTTTTCCGTTTCTGAACATATGCTTTGTGGCAACAACACTGCTGTAATGCACTTTTTGGGTGTGCAACGATTCAAGCTGTCCCCAAACAATATTGGCTCCGTAATTCCCAATGCACATAAAACATCCCTGTCCCAACAACAACAGAAATGAAGGCAAGTGATAAGGTGGCAAGTTTTATGTCAATTTTGCTAGTTCTATCCTATGTGTGTGTCTTTACCATCTCTGTTCTTGGTGTTGCTTTGAAGAAAGGTTAGGCTGCTTTACTGTGCCTGCTTCTTCCTGGCTAACCTATACCAGATGTATAATGTACTCCCCGCTGAATGTGGCCTAGAGACTTCTTTGGGAACTGTACCCACTGACTCTAGGGCTCATCTAACTCCTCGACTAGCCCATCACCAGCACTCCCTCTCTCTAGTCCCACTTCAATAAGTACATGCTGCTTTTGAGCTCCTCTTTAAAAATAGGTTCATCAAAAAGTCTGGAGCATGATCCTAATAACTGTCTTTGAAACAGTGATTGAATGCTCTGTGCAATTAAGTTCTTTCAGAACTGCTGCCTGCCATTTCCTATCCCTTTAATAATTACCTCCTTTTTCTTAGGTACCAACATGTTTTTCAAACTGCTACCTGTGTGAGGTAGCTTTCACAAAGCCCATCTGTTAATTCTCTGCTAGCAAATTCCTTAAATTAAAGTATCAAAGAGGAAGGAAAGTGGATGCTTCCTAAGCATGGTAATAAAAGCAGTAGGAAGAGAATAGTATGGCTCTCAGGAGGCATGGCTTGCAAATCCGTAAGTTTTATTAAACTCCATACCTTGAATTTAACAAAGGCACTTAAAAGTACCATCTCTGGCCAGTGCTGTCATAGGGCTGAAGTTAATGCAGGACTGGGATGTCACTGCTGACAGTTACCTGCTCCCTCCTGTGTCTCTAACTTTCTTTTCAGTTTGAAAGTACTAGGCTGCATCTGATCTACCCCAGTAACCAGTGTTGGAGTGTTCCCTCTATTTAGGTGTCCAGATCTTTGCCAAGCCCCTTATTAAGTGATGAGGTCTCCCACCATGTCCCCAGGGAGATTATCCCACAGGCTACCAGACCACATCGTTAGGAAAACGTTCCAGATAGCCAACCTAAATTGTGTTTAATTCAATCCCATTACTCCCAGCTGTACCATTTGGACCACCCTAAATATGCCCATATTCTTCCGCTGAAGGAAAAAGATGAGAGCTGGTTTGAGTTACGTTTGCCTATCATTTGTGGTAGCTGTTCTCCTGCCATCCTCCTTGCATGGGACTGGAGCTCATTTTATGAAAGGAGGTCAGTGCACCACTGGCTCAAACAGCTCTTGTACCCTGAGCTGCCTGGGCAGTGTGGCCAGGACTCGTATGGCAGAGCAGGGAGCACACAGCCAGTTCTACAGCAAAGCCAACTGTGGGATTTGCTTGGGGCTGTGTAGGATGATTCAGGGATATTTCTACCTTTGATGAATTCTGGCTGATGCTTTGGAATAAGGGACTGCTGTATTTTTATTTTTTTAACATTTCTGGGAAGGTGTATGCAGTTCTGCTGAGGAGGTTTCTACATGTAACTCCCAGACTAGGGTCAACAGCCAGCTGCTACCGCTTACATCTGCTGAAGTGTGATCAGCTTGCAACAAAAGGTGGCTCCAACCCAAGAGAACTAGTTTTTTTCTAACCTGGCCATGGAGGCTCGAGTTTGAAGAAGGAAAAGTTAACAAACAGAACAACACAGCCAAAGTCTTGATGAAAGGGGGAATATGGAAACAGACTTACAGGGCCACACCAAAAGCTTGGCACAAGATACAGGAAGTCTTGGGCAGGGAGAAGGAAGTCATGGCATGCTTTCACAGTGAAAAAGAGGGGCCCAGTTTACTACGGGACCAACCAAGGTCAGAAGAGACATGCTGGGCTGGAAAGACTCCGCAGTTCAGGAAATAAGTCATGAACTTCGCAGACAGAACCCAGACCACTGAGGAGAACCTGACCCCCAGCCCAAAGAAATTCCAGAATCATTAGGAAACTGAGGCAGGGAAATGAACTGAGGCTTTATTATTTTTTCCTGCTCAGCATAATGGTGTATTCATAATCTACCTGAATGTGTCTGTGCTAACACCGATCATACGGTTCCAAACAAGAGGGCCCACAGACTCATTGAGAAGTGGGTTTAAGCTTTGGAGAGGTGAGCAGTAGACTCTACAAGAATAGGCAAATGAACCATGGGTTACAGCTCCATTACTGTCCCTGCAAATACATCTACAGACTCTGAAAAATATTCAGACAAGGATGACAAGGACAATCAAGAAGACAGAATGGTTTCCATACTAAAGTTAACTAGACTAGGATCTGCATCCTGGAAGAGACTACTGAAGCAGATGTCAGCAAGGTCAAAGGGTGATTATTCCTGTTTGATATAATCTACTGAAGAAATCAAACATATTACTATTTTCTAAAATATTAGCTAAATCAACACCCCATCTCCTCATAGTTCACGCTGCAGGTTAACAACCAAATACGACCTGTTCTGCTCTCCTAGTGATTCATGCAGATGTGTAGATGTGACACTTAGGGACATGGTTTAGTGGTGGATTTGGCGGTGTTAGGTTAATGGTTGGACTCAATGACCTTAAAGGTCCTTTCCAACCTAAATGATTCTATGAGTCTATGCTCAGGGGAGGACACAGATGGAGCAACATGAATAATGCAAATCTTCAGTGATAGGGGGGCAATGAACCCCACAAGGGCCACTAATTCAGACTGATGTGATGGGCAAAGCCATGAGTAGTCACAGATTCTGCTATACAGGAACCAAGACCACAGCACACCGAACACTCACTGGGTGTTTCCTACAGAGACTTGCAACTGCAAGATCAATACTTTGTTTCCACACATCTTTTTTACTTTTAGTTTCAATATAAAGGAAGATTTGTCATATGCATAGCTGACAATAGGTTACACTATACTATGTTAAGTGCAAACCCTGCTCTGTGTCAGGACACTTACAATTGGGAATACACCCATAAAGACAAAGCGAGCAAACAAATCCTGATCTGTCTAAATAACTTCACATGGAGCCTGCAAAGGAACTCACTTTTGTCCTCAGTCCACACCCTAGAGCAGGGATCTGCCAAACCCCAACTATAAATATTCATTAAAAAGCCCTCTGCTTGGGATGCAGTCACTGAGACAGCCATTTCCTGCCCATTATCTCTCAGGGCAGGAAATCAACAGTTCCACTCAGGCGGTTACCACCGAGAGCTCTTGCCACGCACACTTCCACTGGATAGCTTAACTTTGCCCAAAGAAGGGCCACATAGTTGTAACCTCTCTGAAGCCCCAAAATAGCATTTTATAGCAGTAAAGCAGATCTGAATGTAGCTGCCCTTGTATTTAGTACTAAGCACAGCAGCTCCTAGTACAATATTCCACCTTGAGCTTTTACTCGGAGGAAGGTGAATTGGGAGCATGCTGGCACCATGGGTTGGCAGCATCCACAAAGAGAAGGATGTCTGTGTGATCAATAATTTGACTGCATTGCCCCTGACACTGACAAAGATTACTAGTCAAAATAATGGCTTCTTCTGCTGAGGACAACTTCAGGCTGATCTAATTGTGGTCTCTGGGAAAAGACTGTCTCAGCACCCAATCTTGTTCTTTGCAACAACAAAAACAGAGCTTTTCTGCCAGCTTCAGAGGAGCAAGTCCCTGAACTATTCTTATGCCAAGAAGCTGTACTTTCCATGAAAAACAAATCCTAGTATTATAGGACACCACACTGCAGAACTACCACTGTTTATTGGCATTTCATGAAGAAGCAGGAGTAAAACCTCGAGGAAGAAATTCTGAAAATGATTACAAATGCACTGTAAATACAGCTCCTCTACTTACCTTTGGTTTCCAGCCTCTGATCGCTTCCAATCAAACAGTCTTTGATGTCTGCACCCTTCTCTATCACAGCGTTATGACAAATAACACTGCCCTGAAGACAGCACCTACAACATAAACACAAAGTAAAGCAAGAAAATAATTTAAAATGACAGGTACAAAACAAAGGTAGTCACCAGAATATCTAATAAGCCTGTGACACGATCCTGTAAGTAGGTTAAGTTCTGCTCTTTTCTCAAAAGCTCCACTATTCTTCTCCTGATCCTCACACCCAGTTGCTGCAAAAACTGAAATGCCAGCTGTCAGAATGGGTTTGCAAAAAAGGGTTTCCAGTTTTACCTCTTGTTAGAACAGCTTTCCTCTACATTTCCTTAACAGAATAAATACTGCCAGAGGATTTCACAGACAGGACACCAGCCTGGGACTTGGGACCTGGATCAAGTCTCATATCTTCCAAAGACAGTTTGGGTAACTGTGGGGGTGGCTTCTCTGCTCAGCTCCCCAGTTAAAAAGAGAAGCAGCAGCCCAGTCCTTCCCTGCAAATTTTCATGAGAAGTTTCATATATTCCAGCTTGCGAGGCACTAAGAAAGGTTGGCAAGAAAGGGCAGATCAGTACCTCAGCTGGTTGGCTTTGTTCATGTTATATTCAAGCACCCAAACATGATTACTCTGCAGTACTAAACCAATGAAACCCACACCGGACCTGCTCCATCTGCCTTGGGTATCTTCACACGCATGTAGCCTTTGACACCACAAAGCCTGAAATACTACATAGGATGTATGACTTCAGCAAAGGTCACCTTTTTCCAAAATGTATTTGAATCTGTGACAACCAGCTTTCAAATCTGCTGATCTGGTTGTCCAGATAGGAGAGAAGTTTAGAGTCCAAGTGCTGGCTCTGTAACTCCTCTGCTGAGGGATGCTGAGTGAGTTACTGCATTGGTCTGAGCCCCTCCATGCAGTAAAATGGGAGTTGTGAATCTTTACTAGTATCTGTGATGTGTCCTGAAATGCTGTTCATTCAGCATCATGAGTAGCGTTAAATGGTATTAAGTGTAATTTCTTTAAAAGCTACAGAGAAAAAACATAGCTATGATGCAAATGATTTGTCTCCCTATTTTCACATGTGCAAAGATAGGCAAAAGTCATTGAAGGACAGAAAATTCAAAGGCACCCAGCTAAGAAGTGACTAAAAATACTAAGTCCAGCACAAATCAAACCCAGCTGACTGGGAAGAAGGTATAAGAGATATATAACCCCAGAGAGATGCAGGTAATCTGCTCCCCCATATTAATCCTACTGTGAACCACGGCATTTCATATCTTCTCCCCAGCATTTCTGCTAATATTAATTACAATAATTGTGGATGTTCTTGCTACCTTCAGTTGAGCAGCTGATCTCTGTCTGAAGTTTTTGGCTTCAGTGACTTTCTGCATGGCAGGTTCCACAGTTCAATGACCTGCAGCCATTGCCCACCTCGATCATGGGTGTCACCACTACTCATTGCACCAGTGAAACACAGCTGCACTGCACCATCAGGCTGGCTCATGGACAGAATTGTTACTTTGGAGTCTGAACTAACAGCATAGAGGGGTTCTGGTATCAGGTCAAAGCCCTGAGCCTCAATTCTGCACTGACTGGAGAGCTAGCCAGCTGTGGTCCTCAGGAAAATAGAGAAACATCAATCCTCACTCAAGGCCGCTGATCCTAAAATTAATTCCTAGTATTTTCCAGCTCACACATCAGTATCATCTAGTATACAGAATTTGCCATTAAACATATTACAGTTCTGTCACTTGTGTGAGTCAGAGCAGAAACCATCTGCCCCACAAAACCAGCATTAATTCTGCAGGAGTAAAAGCAATAAAAGCAGACCTCAGCCGCAGTGGTTAGCAGTTACAACCCCCCTTGAACAGACTATGCCCTCCGAACAATTATTCTTTTAACTCATTTACCCCCTCCTTTGACCTATAAGGAGGCAATATGAGCAATTACGCTACAAGTAACCAGCTCAGGTTGCCTTGGCAAGGTTTTTACTAACATGTTAATACGATAAAAAGCGGCAAAGATACACAGCAGACCCCTGCCTGCCTTTGCTCTCACACTGTCACGATCTGCTTCCTTTCCAGTAGCTTCGTGTGCCCGCGCAGTGGCTCAGGCCATCATCTTGCACAACAGCGGTCACTGAGAGCGAGAGCACTTGGCATTTGCAGCTGGGCTAGGGAATGAATCGGTGGAGGGAGGACTGCCCGCTGCTGCCATCCTGACTTGGCTTTCAATAGGACCAGCGAAGGTGATGGGAGAGGTTGCTCATTTCCCACTGAAATGGCTCCCATCCAAAATGCACACTCCAAAATACCTCCTCCTCCATCGCTTCGAGCCAGTCAGAGGTGAGCCTTCCCCTGCAAACTTTTAGGTTCCCACCATCTATCGCTTCTGAGCACGAGCGCAGCCGTGAGTACGCTACACCTCTTGGCATTACCCTCACACAGGAGGATATTCCCCAACAGAGAAGGGATTTAAGCTATCGGTCTGGAGTTCAGGCTGGAGAATACTTGGATGTGTGTTCAGAGCCTACTTGGGGATAGTTTTTCAACTCCCGGAGAAAGAATAGCATTGTAACCAAGAAACTGCTGATGACATTAACATCAAAGATAAGGGGGGTTCCTGCCAAACCATTTGTTGGGAGGGAGAGGCCAGGGAACCAAGATGAACTTGTCTGTGCCAGGTGCTCGCAAACCAACCCTTCCCCAGTGCCAGGGTGAAACAAAACCCAAGAACGCCGCCACCCCAGGAGTTTCTTAAAACTTATAAACCCAACCAACTGCAGAAGTTTTAAAACCATACTCAATGCTCAGATTACCCCAATCACACAAACCAGCAGCGAATCGGCTTTTATTGCTCAAGTGGAACAAAACTTCAAGAGATAAAAACACAATTTGTGGGTGTTCCCTTCACCCGCTGACAGATGTAACACAGCCATTTTGAAACCACTTGTAAACGCCTTTTTTTTAGAAAAAAGTATGTTATAAAGCCTGCCAAGAGGAGTATTTTGTGTGTTTATTTAATTTTTACTATTTTTTTAAGTCAAAGAGTAAGGAATAAAGTTTTATTCTCTTATAGGGTAAATATCACATCTGAGGGCACTTCGCTGTATTCTCCTTGGCTAAACAGACACCGTGGTTCCTGCCTTGCTTAACAATTAGGTGCTATTAGTCCTCAAAGGTGCTCTGACAGCACCCAGCTTCATCGACACTATTGTGTTTGCGCATACGTGCACATTTGATGTACTGCTTTATAATGCAAACCATATTTTTTTTCCCCAGAAAATGTAGTATATTTTTAAACTTTTCAGTACGGTGAAAATGGATATCTTCTGACCTTAAAATCCAAAGAGCATGTTCAAACCCACAAGAGGAACTAATTTGGGGCATTTGATTTACGGCTGAAATTTCAATTTGAATTTGTGTTAAGTGTAATCACAAACTGAAAGTCTGGCAGCTGGGTGTTTTTCAGAAAATAAATAAAAATATTCAGTGTGCGTCTGCATTCTAGAGAGAGCATTTTACAAGCCCAGTCCTGTAGTGGGAACAGATGTAGCTAAGACATTAATTTGTTATACAGGTACAACATGCGAATGGAAGCATATGCGAGAGAGTGTGCATGTACGCCTGTGTCTGTGCACGCATGCATGCGTGTATGTTACGCGCCTGTATCTGAGAGACAGAGAGGCTGACTTTGGGGTGTTTTTTTTGAAAGTGAGAGAACAAGAGCAAAAGGAGTAGTGGCCAAGGAGGCATGGGGGGATTACAAGGATTTAGGTCTTTAAACTGCAGACCACCTAACAAGATCACTCTGAAATGTCACTAATTTCAGTTAAGGCCACAGACCTCCCTTCCTCTGCCCTCCCTCTCTCCCCCATTGTAAACAACTAATCCCAGCAGAAAACAACAGAGAGCAAAATGTACACACATTCTGCAACATTCCAGGTCCTTCTTTATCTTTTATTTATTTTTCTAAAAGGTCAGTGTATGTATGGAGGGAGGGGGGAGGGGAAGAAAGCCAAAAAAACCTCAAGTCCATCTCTTGTGTGGGCTTGAAGGAAGCTGGGAGAAAGCAAAGTCCAAGAGCATACAATATGGAGCTTTTATAGCACAGCAATTCCTGGACTCAGCTTACTTTTCCCTCCCTCTATTTGTGGCAAAGTCACATAGCTTTAAACCAAAGGACAGGGTGGTCGATTACATCTGAAAGAAATGTAAAGAATCGAGAAAGAATTCCATCTCCTGTCGAAATTATAAATAAGGAAGTATTAGTCCCAGAGACAGGCTGATTTATGCAGCCCTGGAACTGCTGACTTCCAGCCTGAGTATCAGTCTATAAATCAAACCCTTAAATCAAGTGTGTCAATCGCTGCAGCACTGCGATACTTAGGAAAAGCAAGGCACCTACCACTGAAAGCAGGAAGATTGCCAGGGGACTGAGGTGCCGTACCCTTCTTAATTTTCAAAAGTGTAAATCTGAGATCAAACATCCTCTGGGGGAACGGGAAATCAAAATACGCAGTGCTCAGCACACCGGGAGCAGGCTGCAGGAGTCCAAGACACAACCCCCTAATTACAGGCTACCCACTGATTATTTAGGACTCTGTGATTAAAGTGATGAACGCTCCTGGGAGAAAGGGGCTTAAGTAACTGAGGTCAAGACCTCAACTGCAGCTCTCGCCCTAGTTGTGCAAGCTTAGGAAGGTATGAATGTCACAGGTTTGCCTTACAGCAAATCTCCTGAAATGCCAGTGGAAGCTATCCAGGTCTGCTAGTTTAATCCAATTGTGCCAAAACCCCAACATAATCTCTGTTGGGCAGCAAAGCAAATGAGGTGTCTAAAATGCTCCGCTTAAAACTATACACTCACGAGGAAGAAAGAGCCTGGAGCACAAAGCTTAGGACAGCCTGTTGGTAATGCTCCGCCATGCCAAGAAGTCAGGTCTCTTGCTCCTCCAGATGAGCTACGGAATGGAGAGACTGATTCAGGAGTTAAAAGCAAAGGGTGACATGCCTCGGCAGCTACTTTGCTGACTGAGGGGTAACAGCTGTGGATTCCCCT